TTTCTCTTTAATTCTATAAACAGACACAATTTCTTGTTCAGTTACAAAGTTCGGCTGTTCAAGTCCCGTTAATTGTTTTGCCGAGAATACCGACTAACTTGTCAATCGAAATTTTTTCATTTTCACTAACCTCTCTGTCACATTCTTCATGTCTTTATCCATTTTTTACAGCAATTCCACTTTTTGTTTGATGGACATCGAAACATACTTTCGTTTTGTACAATCCTTTGGGAGCTCCAGAATCGGAGATTCTATTTGACATAATCGAAAGTTCAAGTTTTATAAAATTGCTCTTACAGTCTGCAAAAAAATAATAAGCCGGATCCAATTCGAAGATTAAGGAACAACGCAATCATCAACATTAACTGAAATAGATAATTAGATAATTTTAGATTATACCGTCCGTTATACATAAAACGCACACGCAAAAACGTATTCTGTGCTTGCGCACACGCATATGCACAGTGGTAAAAGGTCTTACGCGCACGCTTAAAAGCATATGCGCATGTGTCAACGCAGCGCATGCGCAGAAAGTTTTTAGCTTTGAGGTCCGGATTATAGATCATTCCGGATTATGGGTCTCCGAATTAACAACTTTTGACTGTATATTATAAACGTCACCAATGAATTCATACCGCAAACATTACAAATGGTTACAAATACTTAGTGTCAAATATTTAAATTACTTCCATGCACGTTTACTTCAACTGAAACGTATACCAAATTCCTACAAACATAGAATTCACAAAATAACTATCATTTAATTAAAATATCACTAAACCATGTACACGTCGACTTATTTTTACTTAAAAAAACATCCCAGAATTGCACAAAAATGGCATTATGCACACTCTTCACTATATCCATGTACACTGCTTTTTTCTCATAAATTAGAAAAATTTCACGAAAATGCATGAAAATACTCAATGTATTCTACTCAAACGTATTCCAAAATACCACAAACATATAACTCACAAAATCACGATCATTAAATTAAAATATAAGGAACTACTCTGATATGCGCCCTCAAGTCGCCAAATTTCTCGGCAAACATTTTTGGCGAGAAACTTCACGCTGCCATATTACTATCTAAATTTTTTGTCTATATTTCGAACTTTAAGCCTAAAATGTCTCCAAAAACGCGGTTTTCGCACATGCAAAAACTACGTTTTGAACACTCGATTTAAGCTAAAAATCTGAAACAAAAACAAAAAATTTAGATAGCAAAAACGTAAAGTTTTTAACCAAAAATATTTGACAAGAATCCATGCACACAGTGACATGTTTTAACTTGAAAAAAGTCTACGAATTGCACAATGTAGGCAACGAACGAATTTACAAACTACGCACACCTCGCTTTAATAAATTAGCATAACAACAATAAATTTCAAAGAATGCCATGTACACAGCATCCTGTTTAAACTTAAAAAAACATCTACGAATTGCACAATTTAGGCAAGGAACGAATCTACGAACTACGCACACCTCGCTTTAATAAATTAACATAACAATAAATTTCAAAGAATACTGTGTACACAGCATCCTGTTTAAACTTAAAAAAACATCTACGAATTGCACAATTTAGGCAAGGAACGAATCTACGATCTACGCACATCTCGCTTTAGTAAAATAACATAATAACAATAAATTTCAAATAATACCATGTACACAGCGTTTTGTTTCAAAAACAACAACGACAGAAATTCATACTAAATAACCAATTAATATAACATTCTACAAAATAAGAACAAGATTAAAATAAAATGCACTTACCATGAATTAATGCTTTTTCGAGCAGCAGAAATGCCAATTTCATACCGCCTTTAATATGCTGCCACGTAATCACTATCGTATTTACATGACAGCCAGACACACTCCTGAAAATTCATACTATGGTTCACAAATAAATAAAATCACAAATCCCTACTTCTATCATGCACAGGCATTAAAAATAATCTCCCAGACCCTCTTTCCCCACCTCCAAATACCCACTACCCCTCAACAGGATGGCCACAATGATATTTCCTTTAGCCGAACTTCAATTCAACAACTTCTTTATCTTTCCCTCCCATCTTCTCAGACACAGACGTGAATCAACGAGCTCCAGCTAAAGATTGTTCAACGTCAACAGGGTTGCCATAGAACACACAATCGCACCAAAAACCAGCGCAGAACACATATCGCCACATTTATGAAATTAGGGCGTATATCAGAGTTGTCCCAAATATAATTAAATTAAAAAACACTACTTAAAATATAAATAAGCACATACATTAAATTAATAAAAATTAGATTACAATCCTAATTACTTTAAACTAAATCATTGCTAATAACAATTTTCCAATAATATCATATTAATTTATTTACTCCTTACATTTAAACAATGCATAAAAATAATATCCTCAAATGATTAAAAATACTAACTTACCTAATCTTCAGAATCTTCATTACGTGGCACACACACACTTCCACTATTTCACACAACACACAATGAAGCTTAATACAAAATGCAGCTATAGTACTGCAGATGTTTTTCCAAATTCCCCCCTCCCCCCCCCCTTTTCCGATTAAAGAACTGTAATTTATTTGTCCATTAATGTCACATGACCATATCTCATGATCTCTCATTTCCCTCACACAAAATAATGCGTAATCGGAACTGAGTACTTCTCACATTATTACCAAAGTCCTAGGTAGTAACCTTTATCACCTCCAAAATGTCGCCAAACTACCAGTTACCATATTCCAAAGATCAGACAAAAAGAAATCAACAAAAACCTTTTTCAAAGAGGGAAAATAGAGCAGGTTGAATACTGAAGGTTGATTAAATTAAGTGACATCAGTTCTTTCAGAATTCCACAGGAGTATGTGGTGCAACTTAGGTAAGTTGCACCACATACTCCTGTGTGAATTCATAATACCTATTATGAATTCACACAGAAATGATGAAGAGTTTAAATCAGCTAATGTTTCAAATATCATGTATACTGCATGATATTTGAAATCTGGTTTAACATATTTGTGATATTTGAAATTTGGTTTAATATACCTTGCATGATATTTGAAATTTGGCACTTATATATTAGTTTAATCACCTTAGAAAGCCAAATTTTCAGAATGCTCCAAATTCTGGCAACCATTTTCATCATAGCTCTTGAGTCAAGCAATAGCACCATTTTGGAATGCATTCTTTTTATTGTATTCAAAGTTCTAACAGTTTTTAAAAACAAATTGTGGTATTTTTTTACTTAGTTCAATTTTAAATATGTACTTGAGGACTTTGCTTGCAGAGGAAGAAACTGGAGTAAAAATTTGGTACTCATTTATTATCCCATCAACTATGAAACTGCCACCAAGTACAATTTAGAATTAATTATGGATAAGTGTCACATAACAACACACTCGTTACAATTGCGATTTCATTCAATGTAGCCCTGACTGATTCTCAATAAGATAGGTTTAGTTTTTATGAACAAGAATATAATTATTGGTTTTTTTTTTTTTTTTTTTTTTTTTTTTTTTCATTAATTTTTGTGAGAGTACATTTTAACGTGAGAAGTACATTTTGAAAAACAAGAGATTAAAATTTGAAACCTGCCTTCCATAGAACAGCAAGCAGTGAACTATTTCCAAAGTTATAGAATCCTAACATCATAAAAAGTATATAGTAATGGCCCAGAAGACAGTGACTGACTGGAACAATTACTTGTAAGAAGTTCGTACTCATAGCATTCTAAACAGAGCTCTCAGTAACATTAGAAGACCTAACAAAAGAGTAGAAATTGATGAAAACCTTTTTATGAGGCACAGAACCAAAGCAGATCAAATACTGATTACTTACTAAATAAAGGGACTCGGTTCTTGAGAATTCCACAGAAAAATTGGAGCATCTTTGGCAGGATCCCTGCTATATTTCATGGTTCAATGGTAGGTCTATTACAGTTGACAAGATAATACGTAAGCACTAAAACTTTTGCAGGAATATAGTATTTTGTTATAATATTGCTAAAAGGAACAACTACTTTGAATCTTGTTCAATCGGTGACCACAAAACTTCCCTCACACCAAAAGAAACAGAAACCTGCTTGTAAGTACATTAATTGACTGTATTTCAATATAAATACCAAATTAAAATGCAAAATAAAGTGTGCAGTAACATTTGTTTATGTAATAATCAATATTTTGCAATTATAAGTCAACATTTCTTTTCTTTCTTTTTTTTTTTTTTCCGTAAAAATCACCAGTTACATCATGGAAGTTGTGCTAATACATTAAGTATGTCACAAATTTGCACATTATAGATTGCCAATTTAATTTGCCAGTTCTGGCACCATGTCAAAAAGAAATTCAAAAACATCAGAACTAATAGTTAAAAATTAGTCTGTGAGGCCTTGCACAAACTACTATCTAAAGTTTTTCTTTCTATTATCTATTTCCTTTTCCTATTACGTTTCTTTGAAATTGCTGTAACAGCTAATACTAAACTGGCAACATAGAACTTTAAAAAAAGTGCCATGTGTTAGAGTTTTAACTATTAGTAATATTCTTATTTAGAATTTAATAGATTAGAATTACATATGAGGAACCACATACTTACAGTGTATGAAACAAATTATCATCTTCTGCCACTTTAAAAATTTTTAATACTAATTTGATTAAAAGTAATGTTATCGAAATTGGGGAAAGTGCAGAATTAAAAACTGCTTGGCGCGTTTTTAAGAATTGCACATACTCGGTATCCATGTACACATCGGCCTATTTTCACTTTAAAAAAAATCCCAGAATTGCACAAAAATAGCATTGCGCACTCACTCGACTTAATCCATGTACACATCGACCTATTTCTACTTAAAAAGTCAAAGAAAATTGACAAAAATTCAACTCTTCTTACTCTTGTAAAAAGCGCCAAAGAAATAAGTGGGCGATTCTGCACTTTACCCTCAAATTATTCCTCGTAAACATTTTCTCACCATATAGTAGTAAAATGATAAAAACATTACCTCGATATACTTCATCCACCCAAACTTTTCCATATACTAATTCCTAAAAAAAAAAAATGCAAAAGGTTATACAAATTATTTTCCTAAAGAAGAAAATTATTTTTAGATGCCACTGATTCATAAAATGTTTATTTCTGAAAACTAAATTTTTATCCACACTCGAAACAACAATTTAAGAAAACTTCAAATAAATTCTTACATCAGGGCCGATACCAATAACTTCTCTCAGAGGTACCACTTTTCGAATAACGTAATAAGATATTTCTGGATATTTATTAAAACTATTTTTAAGAACTACGCGTCCAACACCATAGTTCTTTAAGTTACTTAGAATTTCAAATAAATATTTTCCAACAAACCAACTTTTTTTACCTACTACTTTAACAGGCATTTCTTTATATATATATATAAATAAGACGAATTTGTTGTCTTGTGGTGCACCTTGACATTAAATTCTTTCATCCGTAGGGTGATAGTGGATTGAAAAAGAATTTATGAGTATGGATAGGCAGTGAAAACTTTTCCTCTCTCCAAAAGTAAATAATGATGAAAATAGTGCCGTACATCTGGAACTAAATCTTCGGTTAAATTCTATTATTTTAAACACCTCGTTTAAGAATTATTCCTCATTTAAGAAGTATATTAGCTGGTTCAAAATCTATTATATATACATAAATAGCTATTCTTTTGTATACTGTATTATTGGGCCATTGACCTTGAAATATTCGTATTTAAGATACTAAGCAAGATGAAAATTCAGCCATTCACTGACCCGTGGTGCAAGTAGTGATTCTCTTATAAATTGTTCAACTTGGTGGACTGGACCTGCCTTCCTAAAGGAAATTACTCCTGAGCTTCAGAATTTAGTGCCAAAAAGGATGAGTATTTCAATATGCTGAGAAAAGACTGTGATAATATTAACTCTTTGAAACCTTTTAGTATAACAAAGGACTTAAACTTTACGTGTTTTAAGTTTTCTTTTCAGGTTTATCTATAATGCAAGAAACCCAAGTACCAAAAGGTCAGGATATGTAACAGCTGCTGATCTAGAGCAAGCAGACAAGTACAATCTGAAGAATTTACGGCAGAGCTGAAAAATTTATCTAAAGGTGAAACAGTAGCCCCGAATAGTAAGCTAAAAGGTTTAGCCCTTTTTATTGATAAAATTTCTATTATTAGAGTTGGTGGTCGTCTCCAAAATTTTAATCTTGAGTTCTGTAAAAATCCTCCTGTGGTGCTTCCACTAAAAAAAAAAAAAAAAAAAAAAAAAGTTTAATTGTAATGCATTTTCGCAAACGTTGCTTTCACGTGGGACCACAAACTTTATTATATTATGTGAGAGAAAAATATTGGTCTGAGAAAAGTTTGCATCAGTACGCTGTTTGTTTTAAGGCAAATCCTTCTATTTCTTCTCTGTTAATTGGAAATCTGCCACCTGAGCGTGTTAATGAAAATTTTGCATTTAATGATACAGGAATCAAACAAAGTTTATGTTGCCGTATTTGTTTGGCTCGCAACCCGTGTAATTCATCTAGAAATCGCAACAGATCTAACGACAGAACTTTTATTTCTTGTCTTAAAAGAGTGTCGAAGAGGCGTTATCCGTAAAATCTAGAAAACATTTTACAGATAACGCATAAACATTTATAGGTGCAGCAGCAGAGTTAAAGAGATTCTTTAATATGGTGAATTTTCCTGATGAACTTCTTGCAGGATACTTGTCTTTCGAAGGTGTTGACTGGAAGTTCAACCCTCCAAAGGCTCCCAGTTTTGGCGATCTTTGGGAGGTTGGCGTAAAGCCATTTGAAATGTGTCGTGGGAAATACTAGTTTAAGTATAGAGGAGTTCGTGTCGAAACTGGCTAATATTCAGTCTTTTCATTTTTATTTTTTTCCTAAATTATTATTATTAAATCAAACATTAATTATCTATCAGGAAGCAAATTTAAAATAATAAATGCTAGAACAAAAGCATAATAAAATCATTTAAATTATAGTTTAGCTTTACAGATGATGAAAGAAAAATTTCTTATATTATATTGATGGAGGGTGTACAATGTGGTGTGCATTACTCTAATGTAAGTATACCTAACCTAATTTAATTATGCAATATCAAATTTCAATCAAATATAGATTTCTGCAATCTAGATTAAAAACAACTGCTGAACAACAGACTGAGTTAGTACATTGCAAACCTACACAGCAGTAATAAAATAAAACATTACCCTCTATATCAGGGGTCTCCAAACTCCAAATTTGGCCCACGAGCCTTATCAATTCAGCCAACCAATTTGTAAATAGTTTTATAAAATTTAAAAGAAGCAAGATACCATACACAATAACTATTTTATATAACAAATAATCGATAAATATATTTACAGTCATGCATGTTCTTTCTAAAGCATATTATAAATATTATACTACTGTTTCTAAATTTACAATGAGTAAAATACAGCCAACACTCTATTATAAAATTTGTCATATTTTTTTTTATGAGAAAAAAGGTTCCATACCCACTTTCATAGTAGTATTCTAGATTTGTTCATAAAAATTTTTAGCAACAATTTTGTTTAAAAATTCAAAAATTTTTTTTTTAATGTATATGTTAAAATTTGTCATCGCATTTTGAGCCCCCCACAAATATGAAATGCCTATGAGCGAGTTTTCATCTGATCAAAATGTGATGCTAAATTGTTACAACAAGCAAGGAAATCCACTTATAAGTAAAATTACATCGCAAACCAAAGAAATCTTTGATATGCTGCGACAAGATTGTTTTTGCAAACGTTTAAACAATTTTAAGAAATTCATGTTAGGTGAAACAACATGAAAGTCTAAAAACCCATTTCTTCGGATTATCATAGCAATATAGATTCAAATTCATTATATTACATCACCACGGAGTGATGAATTAACTACGTATTGGCCGTCAAAAGATAGTAAAAGAGGTAATATGTCCTGCAGGCTAAAGAAGTTTGGAGACCCCTGCTATATATGAAGCAAATTCATAACATATAGAATGCTTTCATATTATGTAAAAATTACTAAACTGACAGTGCTGATTAATGATAGCTTTCATTTTAATTTTAAATGCTATTTCTGAAAACAAACGTACATTGTGTGCATAGAATAAACACATTTTATAAGAAATAAAAGTTAACAAAAGAACACATAAAAAAAATCATGATCTCTCTAATTGATAAAGGTCAAATAAACTATGTTATTAAGTGCTTTAAAAATATCGCATCAGTTTACCTAATTTTTAACTATAAATGAACAGAAATTAATGCCTACACATAGCAAGTAAAAATTAATCTGATTATCAAATAATACTGATTACAAGCAATCACTACATAACAAAGAATTAACAAAATAGAAAGAAATATTGTCCAGTTAACAAACAGTTTATGAATAACTAGCTTTTACATTTACATCGCTTTTAAATAGCATTTTTGTAAAACAAACTGCTAGTTTACGAAAACTGCTGGAGACAAGATAATTCTTAAATGCTATAATGATAAAACTTAAATATTCAACAGATAGCATTAACTTCTTGCATGTTAAGAAGCAAATCTTGTTTAATGTCTCCTCCTATATGAAATTATGTAATTTCCTAATTTCAAAATATTCGGTAACTGAAAATGTTTCAACCAAAAATTAAAATAACACGTCTAAATATCAGTATAGCGTGAGCACTTTCACTACTAATTGCATTGAACACACATGCTAGGCCAAACGATCTTTACTCACCATAAAAAGTTTTATTTATTCGAATTAATTATATGATTAAAAAATTTTGATGAAAAGTACGTAATATGGACAATATAAAAATACTACCCCGAATAAAAAGAATCCTTACTTACCAGAATGCGTTTTCTTATACTGTCACGTTTGTTTTACTTGCAAATATTTTGTTACGTTGCACAAATTCATAATAAAATATGGCGCCAAGAGCTTGTATTTTAACATGAGCGAAAACTTCGCCAAAGATAGCAACACATAATTCTGACGTCAGAAATCCAGGGCAACGGTCAGCGCCATCTATTGTCAAAAGACAGCATTCGTAATTCTCAAAACTTACTCTTAACCGCAAGTTCTTTGTTTTAAATGTGCAATAAAAAGTAAGAACGGAATGGCAACAGTTTAAAGTAAAGGGAAATTCTCTATTGAGAGTGTGTTGATGCTTTCATGCTTTCATGCTTATGTCAGCTGATAAGAAAATAAATGTTACAACTGTTTTATATTTATAAGTGTTATTTTCATTCTTGAAACTTATAATTATTCACTGAACAATATGCTTGTGTATTAAATCTATTAAAATATCATTTTTAATTTCTATCTATTTTTCCATTGAGCTTTAAAATAGACCGCAAAAATGACTGTCATGGAGTTTTTTGGCTGTGCTATGATTGCGTTTGGACCATCAGCAGCAATGCTAGCTATAACTATAGCTAAGGATCCTATTCGAATAATTATATTAATATCAGCGTATGTAGCTGCATAATTTTATAAAATCATTCTAACTACTGTGTCATATATGTTGTTAAATTGTGTTTATATTTTTCTGTATCTATCTTGAATTTTCTAACATTACCCAATTACAGCAAAGAGCCGAGTTCATTTTATATTTCCGTGAAATAATTTAACTGATTTGTATAATGTGTGGATTGTCAATTTCATCTGTCAATATTGGTATATATCTTAGTTGCTTACCGTCTAATGTTAAGAAGCTGTATTCTTTACTATCAAGAATGTTTCAATGTAGCCAAGATATACATTTAAAAAGATTGATCAGTAGTTCTAATGCACTTTCCTCTTTTATGTGAATAATTTTATATTGTTTCTATATAAATCATTATAAGTAATATTTCAATCTAATTACTTGTTTTTCTCTCCTATTTTTCGAGATTTTAAAGAAAAACTTTTTTTTTTTAACTATGTCATAAAATATATCAGAATTTCTTCACGATGTGTTAACAAACTCCTGATGTTAAATTTCAACTTTTCCAAATGTAAAATCTTTCTTTAAGGCATTTTAAAAGAAAAGTCTTCCCTAAATTAATTTTTTATTACATTTGTTGATGCAGTGTTCCGGTAAATTTTTTTAACCTTAATTTCTTTTCGAAGAAAATCTAATTTATCTGTAGTTTAATTTATTCATCATAATAGATTTAGCATAGTATTCAACCACAGAGCAGGGAGGCTAACTGCCACATGACAGAATTTAGTTTCGAAGGATTTTCTTAGTCGCTGATGCTAATTAAACAAACAGATTGCTGTATACTTGGAGAGAAGGGCTAAAGTGCAGAATTGCCCACTTATTTGATAGGCGCTTTTTACAAGAGTAAGAAGAATTGGATTTTTGTCAATTTTCCTTGGCTTTTTAAGTGAAAATAGGTTGATGTGTACATGAATAAAATCAAGGGGGTGCGCAATGCCATTTTTGTGCAATTCTGGGATTTTTTTTAAGTGAAAATAGGTCGATATGTACATGGATACCGAGTATGTGGAATTCGTAAAAACACGCAAAGCAGTGAGCGATTCTGCACTTTCCCCAAGAGAAGAGTAGCTAAACAAAATTATGCAAAGATTTGGAGACAATTTTTTTTTTTTTTTTCTAATGTATCACATAATCCTTATTTAGTAACTAAAATTTGTATTTTGAATTTCTAAAGTAAGTTTTCTTTTCATATGTTGATAATGTTTGGTAATTTATGATAAATATTCATAGTTTGGAAGTCTTTTTTTTTTTTGGAAAAAAGGGTACTTACGTATTATCGCAACCAGGTTGGCACGATTTGTAAGTTTGAGTAAAAAAGTATGAATAGAAAGAAATGTACATTATTAATTACAGATAATTTTAATACAGGATTTTATATTATTTTTTTAAAAGATAAAATAGATTTAAACCCTTCCGTTTCGAATTGAATAAGTGCAGAATTATTTTTTCGGCGGAAATCTTTTGGCGATTGCTTTTAGCATGATTGAAAACCGTCTTCGCATTACAGCTTGGCTTGGCGCCTATAAATTGAAAGGTATGAGTCAATGATGACGGGGTTCTCTCTGTTTTTGTTGTGCCATTGGCTGAGCCCAACTGTGCTCTAATGTTGTTGAACGCCCGGTTGGATCCACAAATTATATTTGTGATTAAAGTCAATGTAGAAATCAGATTTTTGAATCGCTGCATTGGACCTTCCAGCAATCCGATAATGATGTTCCTTCCTTATATTTTCGCAAATATTTCCATGAGGGTTAACGGCGCTTCTGTTAACCAGTAACAAAAAATCTCTTCTTTTCTCGGAAATTCCGCCGAAAACTATGCTGTGGTGTACAGCCCAGGTATTTTTTCTTTTGACAAAACTACGATAACAGTAGGGGCCGTAGTAGGTCGCCAATGGCAATTTATGCGAATTTTGGCCTGGTTGCGTTAATACGTAAGTACCGAAAAAAGTTGCGAAAAGCGCGAAGATACGCCTGACATGTAACTTTCATGGTTTCATCTGTAAAATGTTGCCAGACCGCGCCAAGGTGGTTCCATTAATACCCAAGTTCCTGGAATTTTTTTTAATGCCCCAGTACTCTTTTGATTCACTGTACATACAACATTTTTTACCTGTATGAATTATTTGGCACATTTATAAGGTGGTATTGCTGTTGTGAAAGTATTGCTTCATTATTCTAATTAAATCTTATTTTAAATAGTAAATTGTATTCTTAAGAAACTTCCAAATACAGTTTACATGATATATGGGGTGTTTTGAGAATTTTGTGTGAATTTAACATACATATGCTTGTATACCTGCATACATATAGATGCACACATAGATATCTGTTGTATGCATAATATTTGAAATGAGTAAAGTTTCTTTTGGTATTTAGTAGTAGTCATATTATGCCATTGTTTGATGTGCAGTATGCTATCTCTGTAGGTTTCTGTATCATACATAAAGTGCCAAAATATACAAGTGGCTATTAAAAGAACTAGCCTTAATAATGTATCGGAGCATTAACATAAGTAGTCATGTTACATCTTGGTTGATTAGAAATTGAATTTTGGGGACTGCTATAATAAGGAAGTACCATATATTTTAATATACGGTCAAAAGTCGTTTATTCGGACACCCATAATCCGGAATGATCTATAATCCGGACCTCGAAGATACAAACTTTCTGCGCATGCGTTGCTGAGACGCATGCGCATAAGACCTTTATGGCTGCGAATATGCGTGTGCGCAAAAATACGTTTACGAATGCGGTTTAATGTAACGGACGTAATAACTAAGCTAAAAATATCTAATTCGTTAATGTTGCAGATTGCGTTGTTCCTTAATCTTCGAATTGGATCCGGCTTATATTTTTTGCAGACGTTAGGCAATTTTATAAAAGTAAGCTTGAACTTTCGATTATGTCAAATAGAATTTCTGATATATATTTACTAATATGTAAAGGATCTACAAGCGAAAGTATGTTTCGAAGTCCATTAACAAAAAGTGAAATGCTGCAAAAAATGGATAAAGGCATATCCTTTGTTTATCTAAATCTTTGTTTTCTTTAACGCCACAATGAATTGGAAGTTGATCTGTCAGCACTATCCTTATCTTCAGGGCAGATGTTTTTATTTTATTTGGCTTATAATTCCTTACTAAAGTAGTATTTCTCTTGATGTACTCCGACTTGATATGATTTAAAAAATTCCTCTCATTATAATTCGCTTCTGATAGCGAAAGAAAGTGACTGAGGTATTGAAACGAAAAATTTCGATTGACAAATTAGTCGGTATTCTCGACAGCAATATAGGACTTGAAAAGCGGAACTTTGTAACTGAAAAGAAATCATGTCTTTTATAGAATTAAAGAGAGTATAATCACATAAAAAATGAAGCAATTAAACTTACATTGAAAGAAATGTGGTGATCTTTCAATATGGTAAATGGTAGTTGGCGACCTTTGGAGGGATAAAGGTTATACTGACTTGGAAAAGGTGGAAGTACTCAGTTCGATACGATTATTTTGTGAGGGAAAGAGAGATATGAGATTGTCATGTGAATTAATGGACGATTAAGTTCTTTAAGGGGGGGGGAATTTGGAAAACTGTAGTACTATACAGGCAAAAGTCTTTAATGGGGCACCATAATATGGAATGATATATAATCGGACTCAAAGCTAAAAACTCTCTGCGATGCGCCCGTTTGCACAGCGCACAGCATGTACCGTGCGCGTTAAGACTTGTTATGCGCAGCGCGTGTGCGCAGTGCAGCTAGTTTCGCTGCCATTGTAGTATAACGTACGGTGTGTAAGCTAAAATTATCAATTATCTTGTCAGTTAATGTAATGATGGCATTTCCTAATCTCGAATGGATAGCATTCGTATTTTTTGCGATGTAAGAGCCATTTATAAAAGTAAACTGAACTTTCGATTCTGCAAATAGACTTCCGATGCTGGGAATTCCAAAGGATCACAAACGAAAGTATGTTTCGATTGTCCACAAACAAAAAGGGAATGCTGCAAAAATGGATAAAGACAGAAGAATGTGACAGCGAGGTTAGTAAAAACGAAAAAATTCGATTGAAAGTTGTCGGTTTCGCGACAGCAATAAGGGACTGAAAAAACGGAACTTGTAAACTGAACAAGAAATTATGTCTGGTTCTAGAATTAAGAGAAGAGTCTACATAAAAGAAGCAAACTTAAACAACTTAATAAAAGAAATGTTAATAAAGTAAATAAATATTAAGTTTTTGTTTGTAACTTTGATACCTTAGATCATAAGTGTTCTTTATTCCTAAATTACGGTTTATATTTTAATTTAGAATTTGCCTGACATCGTACGAAATTAACTGATGAGCTATAATCCGGAATTGCGAGTCCGACAGTCCGGTTAACGACTTTTGACTGTATTATTTTGTATTAAGCTTCTTGTGTGTGTGGAAATAGTGGAAGCGTGGTGCCCGTAATGAAGTCTGAAGATTAGTAAGTTAGTATTTTTAATCATTGAGGATATTATTTTAGCATGTTCTATGTAAGAGTAAATAAATTATATGATATTATTTGAAAATTGTTTACTACAATGATTTTGTTTTAAATAATTAGGATTTAATCTAATTTTTATTAATTTAATGTATGTGCTTATTTATTTTTAAGTAGTGTTTTTAATTTATTATATTTTAATTTAATGATCGGATTTGTGAGTTATATGTTTGTAGTATTTTGGAATACGTTTTAGAATACGTTAGTATTTCATGCATTTTCGTGAATTTTCTAATTTATGAGAAAAAATGTGTACATGGATATAGTGAAGAGTGTGCGCAATGCATTTTTGTGCAATTCTGGGATGTTTTTTAAAGTAAAATAAGTCGACGTGTACACGGTTTAGTGATATTTAATAAATGATAGTATTTTGTGAATTTATGTTTTTAGGAATTGGTATAGTTTAGTTGAAGTAACGTGTATGGAAATAATTTAAATATTTGACACTAAGTATTTGTAATTGTAATGTTTGCGGTATGAATTCGTTGGTGACGTGTTATAATATAATAGATATTTAGAGGTAAAAGTTTTTGGATATTTTATTTATTTATACGTGGAAATGTTCATATTTGGAAAGGGTATATACTTTTTCGCGATCAGGTAATTTCATATATGTTCTTTTACCGGTTTTTAAAGATTCAGAAAATTTTTTCATGCATTTCGTGCAAATTTTGTAATTTATGAGAAAATAGCAGTGTAGATGGATAAGTGAAGAGTGTGCGCAATGCCATTTTGTGCAATTCTGGGATGATTTTTTTAAGTAAAAAATAAGTCGATGTGTAAATGGTTTATGTGTATGTGTTATTTGAAAAACGCGTAAGGAGTTTGCGATTGTGCACTTTTTCCCAATTTTGCAGTGAATATTTGTCATGATAAGCAGTTTTGTTACATAAATTTCTAGCATAAGTGTAATTCGGCTAGTAGATTGTTGGAAAAAGTGTTCAGTAAATAAAAAGAAAAGAAACAATGTCTTTACTTCGTGAAGACAAAATGGGCGGAAAAAAAAATAGAGGGTTGCTGTAGCAGAGTTGGTCGCCAAATTTTCCAAAAAAATGCCAAGTCATAATCCAAAGATCAACTGAAATTTTAATAAAGTAAAAATAATATAAGCTTTTTATTTGTAAATTTGATACTTGTAATCATAATCGTTCTTTATTTCATAAATTAGGTTTATTTTTTTAATTTTATAATTTTTGCATGCCATCTTACCAGATTTAAACTGATGATCTATAATCCGGAAAAATCGATAATCCAGAATCGCCGAAGTACCGACGAGTCCGGATTAATGACTTTTGACTGTATATTTAATTGCATTATTATTTCCAGTTTATCTGTTATTAGAAATGAAGTAAATAAATAATTACTCTTCTGTAGCATTTTATTAACACATTCGCTAAATAAGGTATACAAAAATTCACCAAGAGTCAACTAATGTAAAATTAGTTAACATATGTGTCACTACTTTCTGGTACGGGATTGCTATTAGGTGATGGCAACATGTCTTGTGCATGTGTGATCGACAGCAACGGTGTTAGAGAACGTTGTCTCCTTCTATATAAAAAGAACAGTGTATCTTTATATGATATTGGTTGGTTCATATTTATTCAAAAAAACATTGGGCTACTGAAAAACAAAGTTCTTTTTTGTCACTTTTCTCTTTTTCTTTTTCTGTTTTTTTGGTAGCTATAATACTGTAATAAAATATTTCTATTATTTAAACCATATTATATGAAAATTAAAATTTTTATGTGTTCTCTAATCACACCATTTTTCATCTGTTTTAAAACTTCCATTTTCTGTTTATTGGTTGCAACCATATGTTTACTGTGGTGAAAGTTATTTACTGGGTGCAAGTTAGTGATTTTGGCAACTATTTATGAACTCTTCATTCTCAGATCAGTTCAGGTTGAAGTTGTGATATGCTTTATTTTCCCATCTTATCAAACATGATATAGGCATGAAGTGTCGCTTATGTCCCATTTCAGCTAATCATATTTGATTAGCTGAAAGGGAACAGAATGCTGCAAAACCTTGTTAAATGGAATCTCTTAAGTGTTACCCTTAAGGTTATGAATATTATTTATTATTCTACAAATGTGAAATGTACATTGTAAGCATTGCACATTCAGAATTTAGAAATGTTTCACACACTTAACAATTTTTTATGGAAATAGAATACAATAAGCACTTATATTTTAACAAGTAAGTTTTTTATTCATTTTTCCATGGAAATAATTTTTATATTTAAATATTCAAATTATCGTTATTTGTATTAAAATAAATTAATATTTAAATATAATCATTATTATTAATACTGCACATTAACTTATCTTGAACTTTTACTTTAGTTGTAAGTATTACAACTTTTTTTTATGTTATGACAAATAGCATTTAAATAACATATGCAAGAATCCAAATATTTTTATGTAAAGCATATTTTATAGGAATTTCTATTGTATGTTAGGCTTAATTGTAAAATGTGCTCAGGCACACAGTGGCATTCAGTATTCCAAGATCATGGGAACATGAAGAACTTCATTTTCTTGGAGGAAATTTTCAGGAGTAAAGAGGTTAAAAAGAATGCCAAAATGTGACTATTCATTATAAGTAGCCAGACATTATCGTCATATCAAAAGAAAACAAACTAACAATTTAAAATGCAAATTTTAATGATTAAATAAGGATTATATGATACAGTAACAAAATAAAATACTTCTTGTTCTTTTCCTGTGCACAACAATCAATTTTTGCTAAGAACAACATCAGAAAATTATACTAACACAGCCTCATGCACAAGCTCCACATTACACACTGGTCATGTTCATGAATATCTAAGGTAAGGTCATGAGAATTAAATCATTATCCAAAATTTGGTGTGTACACTATACTTCATTTTAGTTTTTACAATTCACTTAAGTAAAATTTGTGTAAGATTTTAATGTGCATGAAATTTTCTTTAAAAAAGAGAATATAAATCCTAGTGTAACATTTTTCATCTAATTAAAATTTTAATAATATGCACTAGAAAAATTTAATCCTTCTTGTAACAATGTATTAATATTTTTATTACAGAGCCTTCTTCTGGCTATTATCACTACTGTTATCATCCATACTTTGGAATGTTGTAGTACCATTAAGGAAGCAACTGGCATTTGGAGTGGTTTTCTCCGTGATATTTCAGGAAATATTTCGATTCTGTTTTTATAAATTACTTAGGTATATTTCTTTATATATTTATGTATGTATTTAGTTTATATTAGGCTGTTTTCAAATTTTACATAATAAATTGTAGAATTGAAATTGATATTGAAACATATTAAGAAGCATATCTGATACTGGTGTGTTCTATGTTATGTTGCTAGTTGTTATTGCAGAGCAGCTGGGAAATTTTGATTTAGATCACAGCATATATATGAAATAAATATCACAGGACAATATTAAGCATGATATAAATTTTAATGGAAATAATGGCTAGATATATTGGGTCATATAAAAAGTCTTCGTCGTTCCCCCCCCCCATTAGATGGTGTTGATGTCTATACATCCAGCAACACTCACCGATTGTCTCAAACAAACGTGCTTAAAAAGTGACATTCAGCTTTCATTGTTTGTGAAGATAGTTTTCTAATGTATTGCTCGTGTGAAATGTTATATAGATTTGAAAATGAGTGAAATATCTGAAGAAATGTGCTATGTCATGTTTTTTTTTACTGTAAAAAAGGTAAAAACGTGGCAAAAAACATGCCGAAAAATTTGTGATGTTTACGGTGAAAATGCTATGAATAAACAAAGGAACCAGGAGTGGTTAGTACGATTCTGTTCCAGAAATTTCAATGTCAAAGAATTCGGAATTGTCTATTATAAGCTGCTGCAACCTGGCTAAACCATCAATTTGGTCCTATACTCTGCACAATTTGACCGCTTGAATGAAGCAATCCAGAAAGAGCAACCAAGAATTGGCCAACAGAAAGAGTTGTTCTGTCATGACAATGCACAGCCACACACATCTTTGATACCTCGGATCAAACTGGCGGAACTTGGTTGGGAAGTTTTGATGCATCCATTCCATATCCCGGACCTTACACTGTCTGACTACCATTTGTTTCGGTCTCTGCAAAACTCTCTTTATGGTAAAAAGTTGGCTGATTGAAGCACCGCTGAGAATCACTTGGCCAAGTTTTTCCGGTAATTCTACACCAATGGAATTATGAAGCTACCCCGAAATTGCCAAAAGGTCATAGATAATAGTGGTCAATAAGTACATGATTAAAAATTGATTTTCAATAAAAAAAAAATTTGTACAAAAATGTACCAAAAAAGCCACTTTTTATATGGCTCAATATTTTGAAATGATGAATCTCTACATCTAAAAATTAATATGATAAATTTTTATTAAATTATAAAAATTATTTTGCTTTTATTAGATTGTTAGAATGGGAAATATACATCTTTTGTACATTTATTCATTCAAAAATGCATTCATTCATGAAAAAATAATTTATTGTAATTTTTGATGGGATGAAGTATTTTTTAAATAACTCAAGAGTTGTTAACTTTGTATTAACCTTATATACGTCCTTGAACTCTTTTTCTTATATAACTCTTCTTGGAGAAGAAAACTCTTTTCCTTATAAGGATGGTGTGATGTATTTAATTATGGCAAAGCACACGAGGGCTATCTGCCTAAAGGGAGGAATGCCTTCGTGGAGGACTTTCTAAGGGAACTGGTCGTATACACATGGGGAAAGCATGGAAAACCCATGCCAGCCACCGTTCGCGGGATCGAACCTCAGACCGAACTACCGTGTTCAGCGACTTACGCCGGCCGCTGCTTGGGCCCCTTATAAGGAAGAAACTGCCAAAAAATATGATCCAAGAGTGTAGAGTTGTGTGTTAAATCATAACCTTAAAGAATTGTTTTTGAAAGTAATTTCATTTTTTAAGAGCTATTAATGTAGGATAAATGGATGAATTCCCTTCTCCTTGCTAATGTTGAAAGATTGATTATAAGAATTTAAAATATTAATAATTTAATATGTGTTTGGTATATGATGTCTAAAACCTGACTCAAATAATATGATGCAAGAATTTAATCCTGAAGTTCCAAGCAAGCAATAAGGAGAGAAATATTTTACAATTGGCTACCAACCTGTATAAGTTTCCTCTTTCAAAGCTATTGCTGAATTATGAGGCCATCTTCATATACATCCTCATGTTATTCAAAGTCTATTATTCTTCATATCTGTTGCATTTTGATTAATATGTGCTTGTTAAAGTAAAATTTCTTTCCAGCAGTAAACTATAGAATTTTTTAACCCTTACTTGCAATGATATTTAATACCGGTTATGACAGGTAAAAAGCATACGCTGGAAAATAAAAAAAAATTAAAAAAAACTAAAACAGCTCATTAAAAAAACTGCCAGACGAAATACAATCACATTGGAAAAGAGATGGAACTCGTTTGGTTAAGGACAAATCTGTTGTGTTCCATTAAATAAATAAATAAAATAATAAAAAACTAAGGAAAATAAAATTAATCGGTCAAATTTGGAAAATCAAGAAAGCCAATTATTGCTACAAAAATGTTTTGCATGGAAATGCACATACACAATATCCATCTTTTAACATAAGACCTTTTCCCATGCTTATGTGGCTCACATTTTTTAAAGTGAGTTTACATCCATTTCATGTATACAGTAGTTGGGTTATGAATTTAGTTTTAATAAGTTTCCAATTAAGTGGAAGAGAGGAGTAAGAAATGATTAAAATAAAATTTTGTTCAAAAATCTATTGCACTGATAAAATATGTATTGGTCCTAACTTGAAATCAATAAATTCTTAGTCAAAATGAAAAGGTTATTTTGAACTAAGTTAATTGTAGCAAAAAAAGTTTTTGCTACTTTAATTCATGATCATGTGAAAGAAATCAGTTCCTATTTCTAGGAAGGAAGCAAATTTTTTTTTAAATTTTAAAGCAAGTGATTAACTAAATACTGCTATGTAGTAAATAAGCAATTAGTATTTAATTTTTTTTAGTGAAAAATTAGCTTTTGTTCAAGCTTGGAATCTGTTAGTTTATAATTTATATTATATTATTTTATTTACTTTTTTATATTTTATTTTGAAATGTTAAAGCTACAGTGTGTTTTTGTTTTAATATGCTTTTTTTGAAATTTACATTTGACAGTAAGATCTCACATACAGTATGTTAGAATATATCATGTTTATAACTACAAAAGAATTTTGTGTCATTCCATACCTTTTTTCATTCCTTAATTTTAGCAGATTTATTTAGGCATGAATGCATTTTTGTCTTGTTTTATCTGGAAGCTTAATTTTCATTGTATGCCTCTTAAAAATGTTATCTTGTGTTTCTGTGTTGTTTAGGAAAGCTGAAGTTGGTCTTAAAAAAGTCCAAGAAGTTGGCGCAGATGGTGCTGTTGTGTCCAGTAACAGAAGCACATTAGCCTATGGTAAGTCTTACTTTGTTATTGAATTTTTCTTCTTTTTTCCTTCAGAAAGCTAATGCTATATAAATTGTTGACATGATTTTTGATCAGTTTTGATTGTGATATATTTTCATATTATTGTCCATCAAAGTCATATTATTGTCTATGAACGCGATCTATTAAAGCTTCATCCTCAAATAAGTCTTTATTTATAAGTTTCTGAATTTTATATGTCGCACACATCATGCACTCGTATCTCCATTTTTTGGAAAACTAATTTAATATTAAATTTTTCATCGAAGTACAACAATATATAACTGTTAAAAAATATGTGAGATGATGAAAATGCTCATTTAGTCCCTCAGATTCGATAAAATTTAGCCAGAATGAAAGCACATTTTTTATTAGAAACTGAAATAACTAGCTGAACAAGGGTTGATGCAATGATAAGTAGTCTCACAACTTGAAGGTAATGAGAAGCTGAACTCACTGAATGTACTGTTCAGTAATTAGATTGAAAGTAAGTTATTAAGAGATCTATCGGCGATCAAGTAGATAAGACTGATGGATATTAGTAGCTTGATCTAGATTCAAATTTCAGCAAACATGTGGCATAACTGCCAACTCTGCAGTTTTCAACACATCTCCCAGTCTTCTGATAGATCACCAAATTTTTTGAATTCTAACTTTTAGCCATTACTAATCAAAATGTTTTTCAACAATAAATAAAATGTTTTGAGTTACTGGAACATCATGAAAATTTCATTCTTCCACTTCTAATGATAGATACTCAGCATAATTTTTCGTATTACGTTTATCTGAATTGTCTTAATCTGTGACTGTTGAACTTTATTTGAAGATTCAAATAATATTTAAATCAATAAATATTTGTATCTAATTTTGTTTTACATCAATATGTGCTACATTACTAAGTTTTTTACATAATAGCATATATGTTAATTATTAATTTTATTTTCATTGTGTTTAAAAGTACTTTGATAAACTTTTCCTAATTAGGATTTTCTCAGTTTAACAGTGTAAGAAAATTATAAAATGAAATTAACCTGTGAACATAAAAATTTAGAGTATCTTGTTAAATATCAATAGATTTTATATCAGAATTGTATATAGATTGTAGAAGAACTTGAATCATACATTATAAAGCATTGTAAGACAGTTTGGAATGATGCCATTGCACAGCATGAAAAATTTCCCAGAAACTCAATTTTTTTGTGTGTTAGCTTTGGGGGAAGGGAGAATTTTCCTGCTTTTTATATTTAAGGTTAGCAACTATGATATGGCTTAATGGGCATTTTCATACTTTCCCCATGTGAGCCAGTTGCTGTTAGAAAGTTTGGTAAAAATAGATTTTCGGGTGCCCCTTTGTAATCTTTGGCGGTACATGAACATCAAGTTTGTGCAGTTTTTTTACTTGTTATTTTGGCTTTGCGTAGTGGCGATTTTGGTGTCAAAAATTACTGCTACACAAACCCAAAATAACAAGTCAAAGAATTGCACAAACTCGGTGTCCATGTACAAATCAACCTATTTTCACTTTAAAAAAAAAATTGGAGAATTGCACAATATTGGCATTGCACACTCTCTTGACTTTGTCCATGTACACATCGATCTATTTTCACTTAAAAAGTCAAATAAGTACACAATTCTACTTTAGAGCCAATATGTATATATATAATCTCAATAAGCTACAGCTGCATCTGTCTTTACTGCAGAAACTTTTGCCATTTTGAATTCCTTTATTTCTAAGCAGAATAACAGAAAGTTCATCATCTACTCTGACTCTCTAAGTGCTCTTGTTTTAATAATTACAAATACTGGTCACCTTTTGGTCTTAGAAATTTTAAAGGCACACCTCCGTTTGAGAAACGCAGGTTATTCTATTGCGTATTGCTGGGTGCTTGGGCATTCTGCCATCAAAGGCAACGAACTCGCCTATGTCGCTGCAAAATCTGCTTATATTACCTCTGAAAATGATGTCCCTTTTACATACGGAAGTACATCAGAACAAAGATCTTGTCCAGGTGTCAAGAACTCTGGGAATGCCAGACTCTGAACAAATTAAGGCGGGTAAAACCCAATTTGGAGTATTGGGAGTCGAGAGGGAATCGGAAGGAAGATGTACTGCTGACTCGCCTACGAATTGGTCACTGCAGACTGGCACATAAGTATCTCTTGAAAGGAGATAATGAGCCTATTTGTGGCACTTGCAACGTTCCCATTTTAGTTAATCACATTTTAACCTGCTGCCGTACTTTTAGTCAAAAATGTGATTATCATTTTAACGCAACGAATGTTAACAGATCTCATTGGAAGAAACCCACACATCAACCTCATAAGATTTTTAAAAGACGTTTCTTTTTACCATATGATTTGAAGTTATTTTCCTTTTATCCTGCTCTACATGTTGCTAGAGCATTTCTCAATAATCTCTCTCTTTTTCAAGTCAATTTTGCATGCCTTCATCAGCATTTCAGGTTCATTTCATCAATTCATTTGATACAGTGTGTTTGTGCATCTTTTATTTTATTCACCACTTGTCTGGCGCATAATAACCCTCGAGGTTTTGTGCCGTTGTGCTCTTTATTATGCACAATTTATGGCCATAATAACCCTCGAGGTTTTGTGCCATTAAAAATCAACCAACCAACCAATAATCTACATTCTAAACCAAACAAGGAAATAACATTAAAAAGGAAATTCATCTTATATCATCTAAGCACTACACAAAGGAAATATTCATCTACCTTATTTAGAAATTTCTATGTCTTCAGTCCGTGGCACACAAAATTCCTTAACAAAAAACTTTCCTCAAACCATGCTTTCTTTATAATGGAACACTTTATATGGTGAACATTTGAATCTCTCTTGCAACAGACCCATTCAAAGCCATCTGAACAATCTTTATGTTCGACCATATGCTTTTTCTTCGTACAAACAGGACACTTATAATTCTGTTGAATTACATCCAAGAATGAATTACATCTTCTGTCCTCAACCACTTAAAAAAAAAAAAAAAAAACTTCCGCTCTTTTGTTTTATATTACCAAACACCTACTTTACCACCGGCAGCCATTTTATAATGCACAGTATACAATACGAGCTGTTCTTCCTAACTGACATCCAACAAATAGTTTCCTATCAGTAAAATTCACTGCATCCAATCATGTGATAATAGGGTTTCTATAACAAACTACTCAGACTACCATAAATGAAACAACTTGATGATAAATGAAACAACTTCACAATAATCCAAGGGGCACCCTTAAATGTACCTTAACCAAAAGTCCCATGAAAATATCTGTCCATATAGATAAATAGCCTTTGTATGATATATTATGTATTTACAGCTAAACAAATTACTGTGGTGAAGGAATAAAATAGAAATGCCCTTTTATAGAAGTCAAAATGCCTTGTTACTTATGGAATAAATTAATTTTGCTTATGCATGGATTGATATTATTATTATGGAATAAAAATTTTTGTGTTTATAATTTCCTTTAACTTTTAATATTTTTGCACAGTCACAATAAAATTTTGCTAGCTGCTCTCTTATTTTCCTGTAGAAAATAATAGTCTACTTAATTTGTGGTGGTTATTCATGTAATTTTAATTAAAATGTTCTTAATAAGAGGTTATTATTAATATAAATTCTAATTAACATGTATACAATTACATTGTAAGCAATGGAAAGAGATTTATGCAGACATCTGGATTTTGTTTGAGCTGTCGGACATACATGTATTAAAGTAGCAGCTTTTGAATGTTCTTGAAGAGGATATTGTTTCAGTTGTATTCTTTTGGTAAAGTGTTAGGAATGATTCTATAAAATATACAGTTTTAATTTATGGTCAATATTTATTACATACATTTGAAAGTAATCATTTCCAACTGCAGTGCACTTATGGCAACATTTTTTCAAATCCTTGAAACGTGTTTTGACATTTTTATAAAATCCCATCAGAACTTCCAGTGAATTTTCTTTTATTATATTAATAAAAATAAATAAGTAAATAAATAAAATAAAAATTCTGTATCAGGTGATTGTGGAATTTGCTGAGCTATGTTTGTTGAATTTTTGGCCAAATATTTATGCATAACAGTAGCACTGTAAGCAGTGCATTATCATGGTGTAAAATCTGAAAGTTCTTTCACAATTCAGGCAATTTTCTGAAAAATTGATTCAAGCAAATGCTGAAATTACTCAAATAATATTCTTTGTTAACTCTTTCGCATCGAAGTCGCCCATAACGCCCGTTCATTCAGGCAACGGCAAACCGCCCCAACGCCTTGTTTATTTTCTACCTAGTGCTTTCCCCCTCCACGTTAGTGTATGGCTCATTGGTTTCGATAGTTGTTAAGAGACATGTCAATCCTTTTTTTTGAAGCAACTAAAGGAGACATACGGAAAGCTGTTAACGTTCGCAGGTGCAATCCGACCCTAAGGTGAAACTGCACACAATGGATGAAACCGCAGAAAAACCCCCAAGAGAGAAGCATTTCACTTCATTTCACTTAAGTAGGTTATTGTTAATGCTGTAGCTATCTACTAGGCAGGGGGAAAGGAAAACTATTCCAAGACAAATTCGTAAACACGGGCATTTTCGATGTTTGATGAAAACAGATCTGGTCGTCTCTCGATGTGAAAGAGTTAACAGTTTGGTCTGGTGGTAGAAATTAATGATGCAAAATATCATGATAGTTGGAGGAAATATCAACATTGTCTTTGTTTTTCGCTAACTTTGATAATGGTCTTTTTAATCTTGCATTCATTTGAATGTTGAGCTGTTTCTTTGTCAAAAATATAGATTCCTGTTTCATCATTGATTATAATGCATTTTAAAAGGACCCGCTTTGTAAAAAAGCATCTCCTGGGACACTTGAACATGCTATTTTCCAAAAAAGTGCAGTTTTGAGAAGTGGCATGCTAAAGTAATCTTATAGAATTATTCGTTAGGATCATATATAATATAATAACTTATTCAGTAATATCCTACATATTTAAATCATCTATTCTCTGCTTTTCTTAAATCTATTCATCACTTAAAAGCTGCTGTTTTTGACAAATTCTCTAAAACTTGTTGCAGCATTTCAAATGTTTTTAGAGCCGAAATTTCACTGTAAAAACAAAATTTAGCATATGCCAATTTTCATTTACATCTCTCATTTTTTAGGAATTGCTGAAACAAAAAAATTTTTATTACATTCAAAATAAACTTAGGTACTTTTTGATTTAGGCCCCATAAAAACTCACCACTGACTTTGTGATTAGGCCAAAAATGTTTAACTCAACATCTCAGTAGGTGGTATCTTAGGTTTGTACTGTAAGTAAGTAATTAATTAAAGATTGATTTGATTGTGGCTTCAGTAGCAAGATTAGATACTTGCAGTCATTTGACATTTTATAGATGTAATGGAGATGGCTGTGCTAAATTTATTCTATGTATTTAAAAGCTTTCATAAGTTTTATGCATTCACATTTATTAATTCAATTAAAGATATAGTAATTGTCTACATATCATTTCAGTTGCTGGTTTGGGATTCGGTTTAATGAGCGGCCTCTTTTCCTTAATCAATGTATTGGCTGATTCTGTAGGTCCAGGCACTGTTGGACTGTATGGAGATTCTCATTTTTTCTTCCTTACATCAGGTAAGATGAGTTTTGATTTATTTATGTATTATTTTTCATGATTGTAAGATATAGCTTATATTTCTTTTAAACGTATTTTTTAAAATAGTTTTTTTAAATAAAACGTATGGAAATTTCATTAAGAGCTAAATATATATTTAAATTTTTTTTTTACGCTTCGTAAAGAAATGGTATATATGTTTATATTATTATTTAACAAAAGCCTATATTTTTTACCTCTTGCCAACCTATATGCATAAATAAGGCAGATGTTTTCAGTGAAAAAATTTGATAATGGGTTTTCAGCAAATAAGCATAAATTAGGATCCCCACAACACATTTTTATAATGTATGTATGTATGTGATGATTTTTTTCTTGCATGATAATTTTTATATCAAACTTCCAAAAATTTCTTTTTTCCATATTTAAGCTTTCTGCATTCATCATTGTATTTTGATTGATTAGATTTTGGATAAAATTGGACTAGTACTTTAACAGAAATACACGAGTCTTTAAATGGACATTCGGAAATGGCACTTTACTTGAAGCTCATAACTAATAAAAAAACTGTAAAATGTAATCCCAAACTTTTCAGTTTTAATATCTAAGACTTTGCTATCAATGAGAACAATATATTAGATTTCAGCAAAAATTGAGAAATCAGAGGTGATACTTTATTTGAAGTTCTAAACAGAATTTCATGAAAAAATATGATATATAATACAAGACATCTCAGCATTGTTATTTAAATTACTTATAAGTGGTATTTTGCATAAAACTTTTAACTGATTTCCATAGACAAATGTACGAGGGCTATCCAGAAAGTAGATTACGTTTTGGAATAAAAAAATAAACAGTATAGAAAAACAAATTTTATATATACAGATGAAAGCCACCTCAAATACTACTTTTCTACATAGTCCCATACAAATTAAGGCATTTATCGTAGCGATGTACGAGCTTGGAAATTCCTTCGTCGAAAATTCGGCCGCCTGCGGCCTTCAACCACCTCGTTACCTTTCTTCCTTCCATCTTGCAGTGTTAACCAGCTTTTGCTGATGATTTCGTGCCAACAAACTTCGCGAAATTGTGGGAAAACTCAAAGAAAGTTCCGTTATTGTGAAATTTCGATTTTCACGGACTTTAGCATCGACTTTTTTTGAGAAGTTCGGCGGTCACTATGCTGGGTCTCCCACTTCGATCTTCGTCGTGAACATTGGTTCGGCCATTTGAAATCTTATGACCCACTGACGCACTCCACCTTCAGTGATAAATGTTGTCCCCATACACTTCACGAAGCTGCCGAGAGATTTCTATCGGTTTACAGTTTTTTGCAGTCAGAAACCTTATTACTGAGCGCAGCTCGTGGGATTTTCAATTAACGCAGACATTTCAAACCGTCACAGTATTTGAACGGAGCACAGCACGAACCTCTCACTAGCACGGCTAGATGCAGACTGAGCTGCGCAACGCTCTGACCCCAAGATGGCCGCGCTAGCCCCGCCCCTAGCGGACACAGACGGAAACGTAATCTACTTCCTGGATGGCCCTCGTAGAATTGCTATAATAAAAACTTACTCTTAAATAATGCGACACATATTAGGGCAATTTATTTTGTATATAGACATGATATTTATATTTATCAATCCATAGAAGAGAATGATTTTTTATAACAGCGTTTCGTTTACAGAACTTCAAAACTCTTGTAATGCAGGTATATTATCAAATATTGGACTTTTTATTGTCTTACATTATTGTTGATAATGAGGCACAAGAGCAAATTTGAAAACGCCTATTGTTTTACTTCTGAGTGATCCTCGAACGCATGGTAGTCTATTTAGCTATAATTTCAAAAACTAATGAGCAATGTTTACTGATATCTAAATATCCTGGGGACAGCATGCAGATCAAAATGAACTTATATTTGTTGATACTTAAGAAATAATATAGAAAAAAATTTAAACTATCGTATCTCAAAGTATTAATTTTAAATATATTATAAATGATTAGTTAAACTATGTTATTCAGCTGCTCAACACAAAGCAATTTTTAATAAAAAGAAGTAAAGATTATGCTGATATAAATTTAGGAAACCAGTTGTTAAGTGTTCAACTAGAACTGATATTTTACTTAAAACTTGTTGTTATTTAAAGCATGTAATTGGTGGAAGGTTACATGCTGACCACATCAGATTTTTTATTATTATTTTCCAGCTTAAATCTTATTTTCATGAAATTCTGTATTGCTTTAAATTGTAGAATTACTGTAATATAAAGTATAAACTTTTATATTGTCTAGCTAAACTTTACTGGATTATTTTTGTAAATATTAAAAAAATCAACATATCTAATAATCCATTTTTAATATTGAGAAAGAAAAAAGTTTAACCGTTTGACTGCTATGTGGTGCAAAAGCGCTGTGTTCATTTGCCTCGAAAACCGCAACTGCGCTGCAAGTTTCAGTGTGTCTTTGTTGCTCCGTGGGTGTGAACATACGTAGTCTGACCTCACGCGTACTTTGTAACACGAGTGTATTCTAAAATAACTAACTGCATCATGGTTTTTGAGACAAATGAACGCAGCGTTTTTGCGCCGTATAGCAGTCAAACGGTTAAAAGTAAGCAGTGTTCATATTGGTGAATTGCTGCTGACATGATTGATACTTTTATGGACTTCTGTAAAAAACATATTTATATTCTGTTATGCAGTAAATCCAAATTAATTGGGTAGAGCAATTTTGTGGAATACTTTTTCTGGGACGGGGGTAAGTGAATAATGCAGGATTAAACTTGTTTTACTAAAAGATATTAACTTTTGTTCATAATATTTCTGTTAACATTGTTTTTGAATGCATATCTTGTTCAAATTTTGAATTGTTAATAAAATACTTTTTATTGAGCCACTCAAGTTCAGATACATTTTTTTACACTTGTAGTAGATGACGCTTGATATTAATACAGTTTTTTCACATATTAAAGTCATAATATTGAAGTAATTACAACAATTTCACATATTGAAGTAATTAAACAATGAAACATTACAAGAGATGGATAAAATAAGAAATTATAGACCCCCATCAGCTTCATAAATTAGAAACGAAAAAATTTTAATAAAAAGTAACTAAAATAAAATTTTTCTTTGTTGACCTAAATAGGAATTGACTTAAAAAATTTTTTTTTTTTACATTACTTGTTTAAATATTTTTTCGTGTTAAGAGTTTCCCATATAATTGTTTCAGAATATTAAAATTTATATCAGTTTTCATTTGAAAATTCACTTAAACTTTCTCTTTTTTGAATATTTTCTAAAAAGGTTTTTGACTTTTTTGCTCTTATTAAGGTAGTAGGGATAATTTTTTTTTTCTTCGGATTTTAGACCTTGCACTTTGGAAGGTCTAAAGGCAGAATTTATAGATTGTTATTTTGAAGGCAAGACTTGATGTACAATTTCCAAAACAGTGTGACGAAATGAAAAGCGTCTTCATGGTATTAACACATAGTGGATGTGTTTTATAGGAAATTTGTGATGAATTACTTATCTTTTGGAAATTTTTGGAAGGACAGAGATAAGAAAATTATTTGAATTTTCTCCCTTTGATCCTAGAAGTCTTTCTCTTAATATGTTTATCTTCCTTTTATTTTCTTATCTTTCCACTTGACATAAACATCAAAGAAAACAAAGAAATTTAAATTTGACAATTAAAAGATTAATCGTACATGTCTCAGTGCACCATATATACCTCAGTACCTGCCCTAAATTTTGTTGCTCGGTGCTTCATTAAATTCTAAAAATTCTGGCCACGCTGGTTTCATGGACAGTCTTGGCTTTATATCATTTCATATTCATTTTCAAAACTCATATTATTAAAGAAATAAAATTAGCAGTGTCTCCTATACATTCTAACTACAAGCAGTTCCTTAGAATAACAAAAATGTATAATTAAATCTGAAAATTCTAAAATGAAGGGGAAATTCATTGAAAAAGAAATTAGTTTCATAAAGAGAGAAAAAAATTATTTTTTAAAGATGCATTGCTGAAATATTAACAAGTTAGGAGAGGAAGAAGAAACTCATAAGAACCTTGATTTGTTTATCGAAACAAACTTAGAAAAGATGTTAAAGAGAAGGAAATCTATGATAATTAGCTAAAATATCTGGAAAATTTTCAAGGTCAAAAGACACCTATAAATATTTCTATGTTTGTTGTTGCTACAAAATGTAAATTTTGTATTGCTTTTAATGTGTAGTTATACTAATATCATTTTAGAGTCAGTATCACAAATTATAACTGCTGTTAAATGTTCTGAGTGCTTTTTAATGGATATCTTTAAAAAATAGAAAAAATTGTTATTTTAACCATGGCCCATATCACACATTCATTTGTTTCATATGAACAATTGTTTCGGACAATTTTTCTAGCTGGTTTACTTTTAAAAGAAAGCATTTTTTTCCCTTTCTTTCGAAAAAAAAAAGTGCAAGTTGTTTGTTTTCAACCAATCAGCCATCAGCTTGTTTGTAATGAGAACTAGTTTACCCTTTAGATGTTAACCTCAAAGTGATCTGTGGTGATTGGCTATCGTGACAAAGTAGAAAAATTGTTCCAAACAGTTGTTCTTCTGAAACAAATGGATGTATGATAGCAGCCTAACTACATAATTATTTGCAACTAACTGCTCACCCTTAGAAGTTATCTCTTATGTTAAGATGAGTTATCTCCTTTCTTTAATCCTTATTGTGTATGCAAGATACAACACAAAAATGTAAAAATTAACACAAAAATTTATTCCTTGCAGCTAATGAGACCTTAAAATAATACAAAACAACCTATCATCTCTAGTACTTCAGTAGCATATTGGAACTTTATATTAAATACTGTATATTAACTGGGTTACAACTTCAGCAAATCTACACAAAGCTATGACACTAGCTGGGTCATACAAAGTGCAACTTACTTTCAACACTTAACCAGTGTCAGGCATTCACATCTGTTCTGATCAGTGGCTCTCTGTCTCTGAGTAACCTACTGCAGTGGCAATAACCAATGTTATGAGTCATGTTGAATATTATTTTACTTCAAAGTTTAACTTATTCCACTTGATATAAAATTTGCATTTGTCCCTGGACTGAGCGAGTACATGATGAAATTAAGCATAAAAGAAAAAAATCAATATAAAGCTGTTTGTAAAGTTTAAATAAAAAGACACTATTCTTCTTTAAAATATGTGCAACTATTATAAGTGTAAAATATAAATGTTTCAAGAAATTTTATAATTTAATGCTTATTCAAAAACATTATAAAGTTAATTTTATTCTTGAATTTACTTTATAATTTAGTTAAATATTAGATTATGTTAAATAATCGTATCCTATTTACAGATTTAATTTATTCTTACAAATTACAAAAGTAAAGTTCAAGTGTAGATAATTACTTTAGTGCATTCAGTTCCTATTTGTTTGATATGTCCTTATTTTTTTTTCAATGATGGTCCTTAAAAGTACTTAATTTCCATGTGCAGAAGTGCTGAAATCTGAAAGAAGTTCCTATTAACTGGCATAAATTTGAATTAAAGTGAAGAATTTTTGCACCATAATTAACCTGTATGGATTCAAAGTTTACATATGTTTTTGTTTTTTCAATTGTTGTATTGCTTATATTTGTATGTTTTGATTTTAGTTTATGTTTTTGATGCTATAATTTTGCAGTTTTTTTACACTGCAGACTTTGGCATGTGACTGAATAAGACACAGATTAGTTTTATTGTTTATCCAAGATTATTTTATGTTTTAAACTTTAATGTCTCTTTGTTGGTTCAGAAAAAAGGCTGTTTGTTTACTTCTTTTGTTGCACCAACCTCCTGATGATGATGATGCAGTGAAAGATGCAAATCTCTTTTTCTTCTTTTTTTTTTCTTTTTTATTTCTTTTGCCCTGTTTTTCTTGCTGTTTGCCAGTGTGCTTCTGGTTTTTTTATTGTGCTTTTTTTGGGATTTGCATATGTTTATTCTGAATTGAATATGAGACAAGTTTTAATGGATTAGTTTTTGAAATGCCTTTTTCTCTGTATTTATTCTTTTTTCCTGTAATGAAGTAATATAGCAATTTAAAATCAGATCCATCTTTTTTTGTGTTATATTAAGTTCATAATTAAATTTCCATTGTTAGGGAATTATCTAATAATTAAATGTCACTTAAAAATTAAATACAGTGCAGTTTAAAAAAATCAATGCATTGTCAAAAGTATATTTTGAAAAATCGTAATACATAACAATAAGTAATTAATATAGTGCTGAAGAGCATTCTAATATTTTTCAATATATCTGTTGCTCAAGAAGAATACTGATAACATTTACATTGCTGGAATCAGTGGCTATGTATCATTGTCATCAACAATAAGACAAAGTTCTGGAATTTAAGATTTATTTCATCTCTATAAAGAATTAAAATTGTATTGTTAAGTACTCAAAAATATTTTCATTAAATTGTTCATTCATAAGTATTTTGGTCTATTAGATTATCAAAATAACATATTCATGATTGTCTAGAAAATGATTATCACTCTTTCTAATTTCAGAATAATTGTTTTTATAAATAAATATATATATATAAACAGCAATACACAACAATTTTATTTTTTAGTTAGCTTTCCATGCTTAAACTGAGACATATAAGGTCTTGTGTTACTGAAAATATCAGAATTCTATGTTGTTTGAAGTTTAGTATAAACTTTTTCCTTTTTAGCATTCACTACTCTAGCGTTTACATTACTTCACACCTTCTGGGGTGTCATATTTTTTCATGCATGGGATAATCGTAGCTATGGAAAAATTACCTTTGTCTGTCTCTCCCATCTTGTGGTTTCATGTATGGTAAGTTGTATAAAAATCCTTACTTGAAACTCTTAAGTGATCAGCTATAAATTCTTTCCTATTTTGAAAATATTTTTATAGTATGTAAGTTAAATTGAAGTGTTTGCAACCTTATTTACTGATTTTAAAGATATAAATTGAACCCATTTTTTTGTGTCTTGTTTCTTTTATTTGAGTATGAATATTTACATAATGCTGCAATATCAAAATTAAATTTTCATTTCAATTACTTTTACACAATAGTGATTAATATTGATAATAAAATTTATTGATCAATTGTAATTACTATTCAGGTCATCCGAAGTAATATTAAATAAAGTCTGTAATAAAAAAAAACTGAACTTGCATATTTCAGATATATAAATCAGAATTTTTTCCATTTCCTTTTCTTTTTTTTTTCCTCTCCGTAATATTTTCATTGGAAATATAATGTTCATATTCTTATTCTTTTCAGACTTTATTGAATCAACAACGCTTATATGTAGCATCATTCATCCCATTATACGTAGTTACGATCACAAGTGGAGTATTGGCATACCAGTCTGCTGGAGGTTCATGGAAAAGTTTAGTAGCGTCACTTTCAACAAAAAATTCTAATTGACGTTAATTACTTTATGTATAATTGTTTTAATATTTGGTCTAACAAGCTCTGGTTAGAGCTAAAACACAAAATGATGATCATAAAGCTCATATTTGTAAGTTGTAATAGCGCTAAAGTTTATTTTTAAATGGAAGACCTCTATCAGAATATTTAATTAGGTATCTAGAGAAAATGAATTTGAAATACAAACTGCTCATGATTTAGTGTTCCTGCCAGGAAAAAAACTGAGCTGTGCTCAGTGAGCCAAGAGGAAATACTAATTGCAAATAACTTTTTTTTCCTTTTATTGTATTTTTTTGTTTGTTTGTTTGTCTGGTATATAGGTGTAATTTTTATGAGTAATGTATTTTACTGTTGTATATTTCATACTTTCTAACAAACAATAAAAAAAGTATTTCTTTAAAGTTCATCATGAATTTGAATGTTATATGTTGTAGTTTATTATTTATTTATTTATTCTTCATATATTGATATTCATGATGAAAATAAAAGGTGTCAGATTTTGAAAACATTGAGTAAATCAAACTTAGAAACTTCTAGAATTGGATTTCCAATGGTAATTTTTTGTGGAGAGGAGGAGGAGAGAAATTTAGTAGCTTCAAGTGAAAAGATGTTTATAAATTAATTTTTAATAGTTAGGAAATGAATTAATTTATATTCGCTTAAAATAATATACTAATCTTATAATAGTTAGCCATAAAAACTCCTTCTCAGAAAAAAATAATGAAGTTTAAATTTATTTTGTAAAGCAGTAGAATACTTCCATATAAACATACCAAAAAATATTTTGAAGTAACAGGAAAATGTAAAATAAACTGAGAAGAATTCTTTAAAATTTTTAAGTCTTTTTTTTTTTCAGAATTATGTATATAGTAATAAGTAATTACAGTTTATTATACAAATATGCATATTAATAATCTTGCAAAATCTTTCCTTAAAAAACACCTTTATTAAATTGGTGCAAGCAGTAAATCTTTTGAGCATTCAGATGCAAAACCATAGATATTATGAATTTTGTGAATATTTTCATTCATTCATTAATTAATTTTTTTAATCATTAATTTTTGCATATTCTATAGATACAAAAGTGAGAGAAATTTTATAAACGCTGCTGAGGAAAATAACAATGGTAAAATTTTAAAGGAAAAAAATTAAATGCAGCAGTTATAGTGTAGCAATGTCAAGTTCTCTATTATCTGGAAGTACACTTATTTTTTATGAAAAGCAAAACCCCAAATCCCAACATTTTAGTTCATAAATTTTTTAACTTTGATTATGATTCAAGTATTTAAAAAATGTTGCATAAAATACGTATATGTTTAATAAATATGTAAACTAAAGCATTCTGTATTTTCAGTAAGTTAATTTTTTTTTTTGTGGGGGGGGGGAAGAATTTACACTTGCACTTAATAGACGGGATCTGTTTGGGCAGTAATCTTTGATACTGTGTTCTGTTAAGTTCTATGCATTTTAATTGGAAAATATTATGACTATAATCAACATTTATTTGTAAAACAATTTATTTGTAAAACATAATTTTTTTTTTTTTTTTTTTCTGAAGTGAATAAGACTACTTAAAAATATGAATATTATATATTTGATGAAACAGTCATTTTTTTTTTAGTATTTTGTTGAACATTCTTTTCCATAATTTTATCATTGTTTTTCCTTAGTGGCATGTATATGTTGATAAATATTAACAATGCAAATATTTTTATTTTTTAATGAATTAGAAGGCTAGCTTTTATTACTATTAGATATGTAAATGTATAGTGATTGCATTCACTGCCATAACATTTCAAGGTAAAAAACTATTTTAAGAATATGAAAAATAGCAGTAAATAATTTATAATAAAAGAAATATGTATTTTATGTTAGGAAACCTTTCTAAGATAGAAATATATTTCAAATGGACATTCTGTCTTAAATGAATTCCATTACTTTTAAGTGCATCTGTAAACTTTGATTCAGAATGTTAAAGGCAAAATGGCTAAAAAAAAATTTTATTCCATTTAAAATTTAAACAATGGATATTTTTAAATATCTTTTAATGTAAAACAAATCTAATTTGTCTACTAAATTTTGTAAGACATTTTTATATGGAATAATGAAACAGTTTTATTTCTGTTTTATCATTAATATATTATCTGAAATTATATGTAAATAAACCTGTTTAATGAAGTTTAAAAAAATAGAACAATCACAAAAATAGTTTGAGAGTATATTTTGATATCAGTTTTGGCTTGGGCTGGAGTTGCATGTTGAGGGTTCAGGAATATCTTGCCTAAATTTCAGAAGTAGAAATTACTGACATTACATCCTATTTGGTGCTGATATATATAAAAAAGATAAGTGCAAATATGAATTTTTACTTTGAATATCATGTCCAGTATTTTTTAGACATAATGTACATTTATGTTGTGACATTCCATAAGAATGCAGTTAAGCCATGGTCCTGTTATTTCTTCCTTTTATTGACAATCTTGCAGATTTGCCTCAAAAAATGTTTTATCCATTTTATGAAATTACAGTTTTATTAGGTTCGGAAAAAAATTACTTCATAGCTTTTTTTTTTTCCCTTTTATCATATGTAGATATTCATAACATTCATCTGCATATAGAGGTTGTCATTAGAGCTACAATTTTAAATTCTTATGTATGTTTTTCAAATTATTCCCACTAAAATTTTGATCTAAGTGGACAATCAGTAGCAGATTACTGTACTTCACATATATTAGCATAATTTTATATTACTAAATCTATACACAAGGAAAATGGGTAAAATTAGATACGGTCACAAAATAAAATATCTACATGTAAGCATTTTTGGCTTTACCTTTCATACTGGCATCTATACAGAAAATGTATCTAGTTTTAAGATAAAATAGTAATTTTTTAGGATTGATTTATGTAAAAGATAATCATGGAAAATCACTATTAGAGCTGGATATCTAAAATGGAATTAACAACAATAATAAATTTTAGTAATGTATATATAATGTCTGATATTTCTATGTAATTTTTGACTTTATAAAATGAGTGCAATTTTGATTTATTGGAAATAGAGAATTTTCATATTAATACATTTGGCCCTCAGCAGTGTGGTATCTGATTTTATTAATTGTAAGACCTATTTTTTAGAGCCTTTTTCCAAGTCTAATAAAGTTGGTTTCCAGTTTATAAGGTGTAACAGCTGAGTTGAATTTTTTTTTTTTTTTTCATAAATGTGTTCTGTATATGGCTAGTATATAATTACAAGTATAAAGACTATTTCATTATCACATTTCCTTTCCCGACTTTAAAAATAAAGAAATTCTATTGCAGCTGAGATTATTCTTTTAAAATAGTACTGTGGAACTATTCTTAATCTTAAAATAGCCTTTTGGTACCTAAAAGCTTGTATTTTAATTTAAAATAGATAATTGGGGGGGAAGCTCAGTTAGTATAAACTCAATCTTTGCCAGTAGCTTCAAAATCAGCTTGCATAAATCATGCATCTGAAAAATTTATGCTTCCATTATACAGTCAGAAGTCTTTAATCCGAACGTCCATAATCCGGAATGATCTATAATCCGGACCTGAAAGCTACAAACTTTTTGCGCAAGCGTCAACGCATAATGCGTTATGCTATAATGGAGCGACGCGGCACGCAATGAACTGGAAGTTAATCTGTCAGCACTATCCTTATCTTCAGGGCAGATGTTTTTATTTTATTTGGCTTATAATTCCTTACTAAATGTAGTATTTTCATCTCGATGTACTCTGTCTTTGATGTGATTTAAATCAAATTCCTCGTCATTATAAATATCACGAATACACATCAAATAGTTTTCTGGTTGCAATTTTCTAATTTCGACTTTACACATGCGCGCGTTGAAAGAAATGTTTAATAAAGTAAACAAATAAATATTAGGCCATTTTTTATTGTAAATTTTGATACTCTTCAGATCATAATTGCTTTTTATTTCATAAATTATGGTTTCATATTTTTAATTTTATAATTTCTGCATGCCAACTTACCAGATATAAACTGATGAATCTATAATCCGGAATCGCTGAAGTCCCGACGAGTTCGGATTAAAGACGTTTGACTGTATATGGTTTATTAAGAAGTGTATTTATCATATTTATAATGCTAAAAATAATAGCATAAGTAAAGATAGTTTTCAGAGAGAAGAAAACAAGCTTTTTATTTTGTATATTATAATTTTTCAGCTTACACGGATGAGAATTGAGATGAAAGCTGGTGCTTAGGCCATTCAGAAGTATGTAGAGTATAAAAATGAACTTAAAAATTTGGATTCCTAGACAGTTGTAAACCAAAATGTTAAATATTCACATGTTTATGCATAAATATTCATGCATCTTTTCAAAAGTTAAATCTTCATGCACATTACCTGAATTTGTTTTTTAATTCCAAGGAAATGTACAAAATACTGTGTATGATTTATCAGTTCTAAAATTCTAAACGCAAGCTACGGTTTATCAGTCTTAAGTTCTACACAAAGCCTTACTTGTCTGTATTTGCAGTGTTATTCAGATATACAGGCAGCATACTTTTTCAGTTTATTCAGATTCTTATTTATTTCAGATGCATGCGATGAAAGAAATCTGATCGTGTTTTGCAAAAATGTTTACTGTAACTATAAATACATGACAAATGGATTCTGTTTTTACTTCCTTATGCGAATTAAAGGAAGTATTGGAATCACGAAGAATTCCAGATATCATATTTCAACGAAAATATCCATTTTGACTGCTATTGAATGCAATTTAATGATGTTTTTATGTGACATCTGTAAGAACAGAATAAAGGAGTCTTTTTTTATTATTATTATTCTTTGCTTATTTTATGATTTTTAGTAAACTTTTTATATTTTTTACTGCATTTATTGTATTTTTATGCAAGATAGACTGTTCCTAGGAAGCTGACCCTCAGTACAAGTAATTGCTTATGCCACAAGACTTTAATACTCAAGAAGAATTCATCGGCCACAATGACCTCCATATAATTGCTTCAAGTTATTGAAGTTTTTCTGTCGGAATTTTCCAAGATTTACTGTTTTCGAGGTTATGAACCTGAAGTTATATATGGGAGTAAAGGTCTCCGGACCGAATGCTTTACTACACTGAATTTGCCGATCTACCGAAACAAATTATAAAACTGATTTAAAATTGATTTAGAAGAGTTTTTTTTTTCTTTTTTTTTTTTCGTCTGTCCGTATGTATGTATCTTGCATGATTCAAAAACAAGTAGCCTCAGAACGTTAAAATTTTGTATAGAGGACTGTTATAACATGTAGTTTTGCACCTCCCTTTTTGGTTGCAATCAGCCACACCTATATATATATATATATATATATGTAATATTTTGGCAGTCGGGCACTCACATGAAGCTTGGCATGAAAT